TCTTGCAACTGGACTTTCTCCACAATCTCAATGATTAGGAGGCTAATGATCTTGCAGGTTTACTAAATTTGTTAGTCCTACGATCTCGTTTCTATCTGAGACTGCAGACTCTGATTTTGGATAAATTGGATAATTTTCCCCATAAATCACGCTTCTCCAATTGAACTTGTTTTCACATGTATTCTTCTTTTCCTTTGAAGACATTCATATGAAAATATAAAACCCTGTGAAGGCATAAGAATTTACTTGGTCTTTAGTTCTTGATAAAATTAATGCTAATGATCTGTTACGGACGAGGAGACCCCGTAAGTCTTCCCCAAATGTTTGTGTTGTGTGCTATAATGACTACATGTTCTATTTGGATTCAACTTAATGTAACAACCTTTCAATGCAAGTACATTCTTAGTGAATAGTTTTCCTCATATCAATGGGCTAAGGCTGGATAATTAGATATCTGACAAGGATTGAGAAATACTTTACATTAAACATATATGTTTTCTTTCATTTAATATTCATGATTCTTGGTCTTTTCTGTTATTATTCTTTCTTCTTATTAATAATTTTGTTATGAAAAAGAAACTAAACAAATTATATAGAATTACTTTCTTCACTTTTATTGTGTGGATTGGGACTGGATGGTCGATCTTGAAGCCATATTTGCAAGATAAAGAAAAGAAGGTTTTGATTATTGTGATCCCACTTTAGGTGATTGCCAATATAGCTCAAGTTGTCATTGATGAGACTGGACCATATGGTCAAGATTGGATGACATGGAAACAGGTGTTCTTGCCTGTTGATGTTGTTTGCTGTTGTGCGGTGCTTTTCCCGATCGTTTGGTCTATCAAGAACTTGCAGGAAGCAGCAAGGACTGATGGAAAAGCTGCCAATATATATGTATTATCAGTCTGCAATTGAATTAGCACTATGTGTGATTATACAGTAGCAATTATCTTAAGGATCTACAAAGTGGCCCTCTGGCAGATCATGTGCCTCAAATAGGTTGGCATCTACCATTTGGTGCAAATGAGCTTGGCATCATGTTACGGGACCTGTGTGCTGCCAGTGATATTTTTTGTAACTTTCATTCTAC